CATTCGATCTGGAGCATCTTTTGCGTCTACTGACGCGCGTTCGCCACAATGGTTGACATGTCGTAGAATCAGGCAACTCAACCCAGGAAATGAGAAACAAAAGAGAAGGGCTGTATAATCCAAGCATTTTTTCTCATAATCTGAAAAGTTCCTCGGTCTAAAGTTGTATCAGATAACATTTGAAGATGGAAAAGAAACTAAGGCGTGTGAAAAAGATCCAAATGCTTAGTCGGATGACATCAGTACGAAAGGTTTTTTTTTTTTTTTTTTTTTATTCTTGACAGTATGTAAATCACGAACATTTAAAAAGACTTTAAAAATGATAGACGAAAGCATAGCTTTATTTTTAGTCCAAACGTTTGTTTGCATCTTTGTGGTGTCATCTGGACAAGACAAATGCCAGCCGGATCAGACGGCCGACTCCGGGGGGTGGGGGGATTTGCGATCATAGCATTTCCTTTTATGTCTGCAAGAAGCAAAGCGGTATTTTAATTTAGCTGTCTTTAAATTAGCAATAACGCTAAGTGTTCGGTTGCGTGAGGAGGGCTCTAGGGATGTACGTTTTTTTTTACTACTATTCAGTCAATACAAGTTTTTAGTTTTTAAAAGCTTTCGTCTGTTCCTACAGACATCCTCATGTATGGAAATAGATTTGTTCTTGTTTTTTACTTCTCGGTAATAAGAGGACAACTAAAACTAAAGAAGACCTTATGAAACTGGAATTTATAAACAGGGATCATATCATTCATATACAGGTTCGGGGTTAGTGTACCTTATTGAAATTGTTTGCGAAGATGTATTCTCGCCATTTAAATCATTAGCCTCTATATTTGTTTTTTGTATGAATGATTCATGGAATTACAAATTGAACTGCACCTATAATCGAAATATATATATAAACAATTACAGGTTGATCACATTTAATATTTATAACTGCTAATATTTACAGAAAAGTGACGGGGTCTTATAAGCGAGATATGTTCACAGTACTGAGGATGGCCAATTCTAAATTATATCTGAAGGTGTTGGAATCCATTTATATTAAGTCCTATCAGCCTTCTCTCTGTAAGCAGAACCAGTTGTTAGACTTAAATGTGACTTTCCTCTAATTATATATAAGACAGGAAGTTGATTAAAAAAAATAATGCCTATCCTTTAATTGCAACATATCTACATATTAAAAGCATGCAAAGCGTACCAAAGTGACCGCAAACATTTCATGACACTAAATCTAGTTCTCAGCAGGGTTAGCAACTAAAATGAATATCCCATGTCCTCAAAAAGCAAACAGCATAATGAAAATATTGACATTCAACACTACTTCCAATAAAAAGATAGGAAGGAAACCTCTATTAGTAATGGAAAGAGCGATAACAGCTACTGGAATTGAGAAACTTATTTTCTTGAATAATTGTTTTAAGAGAAAGATTTTATAAATTTCAACTGAAAGAGAAAATAATGACATAATCAAGATGTTGACATTCTACACTACTTCAAAACAAAAGGTTAGAAAGGAAACTTCCATCAGTACTGGAAAGAGTGATAACAGCTACTGGACTTGAGAAATTTATTTTCTTGAATAATTGTTTTTCAAAAGAAAGATTTTATAAATTTCAACTGAAAGCAGTACTGGTTGCTCCGTCAATGAATGTCAAATGTTTCCTTATAGCGAAACAGCTAATATTACCGTTACACCACTGAAATATTGGTTGTTTTATTACTGACGTTCGAGTTACCTTTTTACATTATCATTCGAAAACCAATTCCTCGGGGTGCTTTTGTTTCAGGAGATGAAGGTCTAGGTTTTTTCAGAACAGAACTGTAAGAGGGATGAAACTGATGATCTGTCTTCGTCTTTAAGCTGACGAGGTCTGGCAGTGTCATACTGAAAATGCACATCATTCATCAAGTAAAGCCTCGCTCGAAAATGCTTCAACAATGTGCTCATGTACGAGTCAGAATTGATGACAATACTGTCAAGGGACTGAATAAATGGACTCCCTTCCCTAAATACAATGGCCATCATTCTTCCAACAGAGTATGCCACCTTAAACTTCTGGATAAGTGCACATTGCCTTGCAAAGTGAACCTAAAGAAACTCTTAGGCAACGACGACTCCCTGCTTATTCATGGATTCTCTCATCATTTCTGGTGCTAACTTCAGATCTTTGAACAGCACAGAACAGCAAACACTCCCATAACTCAAAGACATTTGCATTGTTTCCAAATAACGTTTTATTTCTCGGTAGTAGTAGAAAAAATACTACTACTACTAAAAATAACAATACTAATAATACTAATACTACTACTACTACTAATAATACTAATACTACTACTACTACTAATAATACTAATACTACTACTACTAATAATAATAATACTAATAATAATACTAATACTACTAATAATAATAATACTACTACTACTAATAATACTACTACTACTAATAATAATACTAAATAGTAGTAGTAGTAGCTCATGCCTTAAAGAAATACAGAAAAAAAAATTCTCACGGGTAGAGCCCATATCTTACGGAGGGCTTTATATATGTAAAATATGTGCGATTTCTTTTTTTCAAACTGCTCACTGGAAAATGTAATGATGCCATTTCTGATCTTAGGTCTCTGGTCGGAACCCGGAAAGAAATGAGGATACACGAGAAATTAAAAGAAATAATAAATAATAATATTAAACGAGTGCAGTATGGAGCCTGAGTCGGCGTTTAGGACGTTTCTAACCACTTATACGAATTCGAAGTCTACTCGTGGTTGTTACAATTTCTGCTCATTAGGTGAATTCAATTTCCTTCTTTTAAAGAAAAAAGAAGCTAGTTATCGAATTTGATCATTTAGCAAACCCTTCATATATGAACACTCCAGTAAAATTATATAAACAGAAATCTTTATATCAGGTTAATATACAGGGTGATTGAAAAATAACTCCCTATGTTATGTAGGAGTTGTCAACCAGGAGTCCTGACTTAAAATTCTGTAACTTTTTTTCCTTAGATTTGGTTAAAGAAACAAGTCTACTAAACTAAACCATGACTTTGAAAGGCCTTGAAGGGTGAATACAAGAAGTTATGACTTCCATACAAGAGTTCTTGGTGAAATCAGTTGACCCGATTCCTGGGCGGCTCGAGAAGCTGGTAGCGAAATCTGATGTCCATATCGATTTTTAAATAAAACCGCATGTTAAACGTTTTCCTGTCATATTTTTTGTAAAAATTATTGTTAATAAATAACTTATGAGTATTTGAATATGGGCAGTTACTTTTCAATCACCCTGTATATATATTATTCAATGGCGCCTGCATCTTCCATATCTAAATACTATGGTAACCATTTTTCTTTAACGAGCCTCTATGCTGATATCACCCTGGTGATATATAAGACAATAGGTATTTCTTGGCGTGCACACATTCTGAATTCATCCGAGATCATTTATTTAACCCGCTAATACGATGAAATAAATGATCTCAGATGGATTCAGTATGTGCGTACGAAATTCCTATTGTCTTATATATCACCAGGGTGATGTCCACATATAGGTTCGTTAAAAAAAAAAAAAAAAAAAATGGTTATCATAGTATTTAAATACGGAGGTTGCGGGTGCCATTGAATAATATAGATATACAGGCTGACTGAAAAGTAACCTCAATTTTATTTGCGAGACAGGATCCACATCAGCAACTAGGCGTTGCTGAGAGTTGTAAGCCCCATACGCCTCATGGGACGAGAGTTACTGATGCACCTGACTTCTCTGAAGCTCTGACATAACTAAGTAGATAGTTTATTTTGATATCATGTCCAGTGTGTTACATACTACAATGATATCAAGTATTGACAATCTGTCGACTAATTCAAAATGCAATAAGTAGTTAGAGAATTCGAACATTCTAAGATTTCAAACTACAGAACGATGTTCATGAAGTACAAAGTGATTTCGCCAATTCCCTCCCTTCTGCACCAAGTCTTCTCCTCTCGAATAAGAACTAGGTAAGATTGTGTACGGTCTTTTGAACCTCTATTGGGACTCAGGCTTAATTTAAACTCGTATACACGAGTCCATCGGTGAAAAAACAGTCCAAAGTTCTTCTTACCATGTTTCACCGTTACAAGTGTCAGAGTAGACCTAAAATGGAATATTGCTGCCATATCTGTTTTGGAACTGCAAAATCCTTGTTCTTCAGCCTTGATAAATTTCAAAAGTGTTAACGTGGCCATATTCATGATGTATTGTTTTCTACCCTACAACCTTTTCCCTCACAGACGAAATGTTGCTAGCCTCTCTCTATTCTATCACTGTTTTAATGGCAAAGGTTTAGGTGAGCTACATTCCTTAGTTCCAGCAGTTCAGACCTTCACAGATAGGACCGACCATGTGACGTACGCAGGGAGGATTCATCCTCATTCCCTTCGTATTCCATTGGTAAGGAGGAAGTTCCATAGACATCTATCCCAGAACAATTACATTATGGAATATACTCCCGGGTGGATGCTTCCCCGATCGCTAAAATCTTAACATCTTCTAGTCTAGGGTCAAAATATTATCTATCCTACATATCTTCATAATATGCACTTCTTACTTCCTCCTCTTACGCCATTACAACACCCTAATTCAGTAGCCCTCTACGTTGAGTGGCTCTTGAGCATCTCAATGAGTAAACAATAGTATGTAAAAATGTTCCCAGTCATCAAAATAACGTTGTTTTGTCGGTGAGTGAAGCTCGTTCTAGCTTGCAATCGGAAGCGGTCAGCTCGGCACATTTGTCGGGCAACGTCAGTCATTAATTTAAACCAATGCCTTGTAAATTACCCGCCCAAAATTCCGAGTTTTACTTCAAGCAAAAATTTGTTTAGGTCGAGCGCGAGGATTTTTATTCCAATCATTAGCTTCTAACACAGATGAACAAAGACAAGTTTGAGCTCGTTCAAACACATTCAACTAATTTAAATACATTAACAGTTCACTGTGAGCAGAAGTAAAAGCATAATGACATGATGTGGCCTACCTGTTGGCCAAGAGAAGAATTTCCCACCAGTACCATATGTAAGTGTTCGAATCTTGGTAAAAAAAATGGCATAATTAGCGATTACATTGAACATCTGAGAAAAAATATGACCACCGAGAAGAAACAAGACGACGACGAAGAAGACAAACAAGACGACGGCAAACAAGACGACGACGACGAAGACAAACAAGACGACGACGACGAAGACAAACAAGACGACGACGAAGAAGACGACCACGATGACAAACAAGAAGAACAGATACATTGTTTTAACAATCAGAAGTAAGGCTGAATATCGACATCGAAGGAACTATATTTTTCAACTCTTTTTCATCTTAATTTCAGTAGCTTTTTATCGCAGTTGTCAGTTTTTTTAAGTCTGCAACTATTTTCGATCAGTATTTCTTACTAATCGCCGAAGTATGACATTGGTGCACCAACTATACCAGTCGAAAAGTTTACTATATATATTATCTAATGAATTAAAAAAAATAAAATAAAATAAAATAAACGATTTATTTCATCCTTTTTTTTTTTTTTTCCAAGAGAATCTAATCTAATATGCAAATAAAAAAAAATAGTTCGCTTGAGCCGGGTATTATTGACAGAGAAAAAAAAAGACAATCTTATATTTTATAGGGATTTAATAAAACAAGTAAAAGAATTTTGGCGACTTTAGTACTCTGAGGACTTTTAAGGGTTCTAATAGTTTGTAGGTGTAAGTTTGAATATAGCAGTGTCCTGTAGTAGCAGTATTCCTTCTTTGATTACAAAGCAAAAATGGCCGTTCAATTGTATATGGGGCCCCCGAAGAGATAAAGAACGCGAGCATTAAGAGTAGTATCGGTTCTTTATTCAATGGCTACCGGACAGGAAGTGATTAGTATATCCGCTGGAGGCAAAGAGTTTGTTGTAGAAATGCTGGTATGTTTTGGCAAATATTTAGTCACCATTATGTTGCGGGAATCAATTCTTTGGAGTGTAAATATTTACGGACTCTTGTAAAATTTATTCCACACACTATATTGACTGACTCGATGTGAGTCCAGGTAAAAATGAGTACAAAACAATAAATATAAAACAAACGACAATGCATATATTAACATAGGTACCTCCATGAGATCGCTAAAAAAGATCTTAGCATGATGTAAAAGACGCCAAACTTGACGAAAACAAAATTGTATCGTCTAAATGCTTATGTTATTATTAAGAAGAAAGATCAACGTTTATTTTAATTATTTAAAAAAAAATTTTCATTCTTTTTAGAGCATTCTAAATTTTGATTAAAAAAAACTTGTTTCTCTTTGTATCACCGGAACTAGTAAAATAACATATACAATTTTCAGCACGTTTTTTTTTTTTGTATGACACACATTAATTTTGAAAATCTTGCAAAAATAAAAATAATTGTCGGATGTTAATGAAACGTCCAGAAACTATTCACAGATGATCGAAATTATAAATATGTTGTTTTTTTTATTAAATCATGGCAGAAATATTTTTTTATATTTATTACTCCCCCATAACTAATTTTATGAAAACGCTAGAAATTCGATCGCATCGGGTTTAGTGATTACAATAGTTAAAAGCACGAGGATTTGAGAAATGCAAATCATGTTTTTTTTTGTTTTTAATTGGACCCCCCTACCTGAAAATCAGCTCTGAATTGTAACATACAAAACTCAATAAAACAGATATTATTTAATATCAAATGCTTTTATTTGCTTTTAGTTGTTTTTATGAATATGGACAATATTTTCTGAAAACAAAAAAAAATTCGATGAAATTTGTTATTTCTTGATTATAATAGAGTTTTACATTTAAGTTGTTAAAATATTATAAAATTAGTTAAAAGCTGCATCAGCTTTCGTAAGTGTCCTTATGAGAGAGATCTTTTTTAGCGCGTTGTAAATTGTATCATTCTGATTAATCAGAAGATCCGTAGTAATTAAGAAATGTAATTTTGTGTTTATAATCGGGCTGTAATTATAAAGTACAGAAGACCAACCAGAATACAATTAAGTTGCTTTATTTGAGTTAAGCATTGTTCTCCGCTGTTAAGGCCTTTACTTTTGCGAAACTCGTGTAGAGAAGTTAATTTGATTTTTCAATTTCAACTGAGAAGGTTACCTACAAGTACCAGTATCATCTTATGAAATTTATATGATCTTATTTTTATATTAATATCAGTTATGACATTTTTCCATAAATGAAATATCAAAATTAATAATAAAATAAATCGAAATACAAATAACACAGTAAAATGTAATAAATGTACATAAAATTATAGTATTTTATGTACACTTCTGATAAAATTTCATAAGAAAGGTCCCTCTAAATTAATTAGATACCTTACTTATGAAATATGAAATTTAATGTCACTCTTAATTTCTTTAGAATATATTTCCCATAAAGCATCGTAAACGTAAAGGTGAAAGCTAAGTAAAAAAAAAAAAAAAAAAAAAAATTAGAGCGCTGAAAGTTTTCCTTAAAAATAACGAGGTAAATAATTTGTTCACTTAAATGTAAATTATTTCACTTTTCTCCTTCCGTAGAACAAATTAGCCTCACAGAATCCGTCAATACATCATTCATCACCTGTCAAGTGAGGCCAAAATTTATGACCTGCTTTGTTTTATTTTCAAATTACATCTTTTCGGCGCAGAAGTTCTGATTTTCTTAAAATGAGTTTTGAAAAAAATGATAATTGTTATTTACAAGAATTTCAAAGTGAGATTTTCATTTTTTTTTATAAAATGGGAAAAAATAATGGTGGCCATCTGTCAATTTTGCTGACTCAAAAAAAAAAAAAAAAAAAAAAAAAAAAGATTTTTAACAAAAATTTCGGACGTGCTAGGAACGATTAAAAAAAATGTAAAAAAAATATCCCCAAAATACTTTGATTTTTCCTCTTAATAATAACATTTAGACGATAAAATTTTGTTTTCGTCAAGTTTGGCGTCTTTTTCATCACGCTATGCTCTTTTTTTAGCGGTCTCGTGGAGGTACCTATATTAACATAAGGAATTATGCGTGACGAAAGGAAAAAAGATGAGAGACTAGCTATAAGTGTGTGTGTGTGTGTGTGTGTGTGTGTGTGTGTGTGTGTGTGTGTGTAAGCGCGCGCGCGTTTAACAAGCGTGTGTGAGAGAGCAAAAAGTCAAAAGAGAAGACCATGAACGTGCTCCAGTGGGGGGAGGACACTTTATCCACGTGCGCCTTCATCTGAAGGCCAGGGGTAAAAAGTTGTAAAAGCGACTAGGGAGAGAAACGACCCCTTTTTATAGGCTTAAGAAGCGCCCCTTAGTGACGATTTTTGGGCAAAGTCAAGCGGGATAATCCACAAGGTAAGGGACATAACTCGGTGCAGTTATTTACATACATGACATTATATAACTCGGTATTGACGACAGCATTAAACGCTTACTTCTGACACCTGAAAAGGTTCTTTATATTCTTCATGTATTACACGCAAAATAGCGAATATTACTTCCGTTCTTTCTCGGATTGCATGTTTTTAATTCTAAATCATTGTGATTCCAACATATGTGCGTGGTTGAAAAAGTCATTCGTATAGATTAATCTATCCATAAAAGGCAGGATGTGTGTGTGTGTGTGTGTGTGTGTGTGTGTGTGTGACGAACGCACAGCTGCAATTTTCGGCGGATTTGCACCAAAATTTACATGCACATGCTCCAAGTTAGCGGGAAGGCCAACACCGACTTTGCATTTCCCAACTCCCATCGATAGTGGAAATAATCGATTTTTTCATGATTCTACGACAGTTTTAATGTAGTTTGCGGCCATTTTCTACTGGCCAGAGTGAGATCAAATAGCTGGCTGCCACGAATAGGCAAGAATATTATATTGGCCACCGTGAGAGCAAACAGCTGACTGACACGAATATAAACTAGCATGCAAAAAAAAAAAAAAATCGATAGCTGCAAACGTCACAAGTGGGAAAAATTTAAATCTGCATGGCACTTTACTCCAATTGGCTCATTCGCTTGCTTAAACTCAACGTTGATTCTGATTCCGCAGAACTGGGTTGAATGTGAAAAAATATGTTGTTAACATTCTTTTTTCATTCGGTTTTTCCAGTTACGAGTCCTTTTTTAAAGCTGATCGTTTTGTGTTCATTTTGTTTAGTTCTTTTTTCGTAACAGATTTAATGTTTAGTATAGAGCTTAGAAAAAATTCGCAGTGTGAAATTGACAAGAAGTAAGGCATGTAGCAACATCAGCACGGCAAAGGGCACTCCTTTAAAGGCAAGGAAAACGCAAAAATATTTTAAGTCAAGTGATAGCAATTGATGTACGAGTCGTACGATTTTAGAATTAAGCACGGGCAACGCTGCTAGTTATCAACTATTTTTTTTTTAAGTTGACAATATATCTTGATAAATTAAATGTTATTTTGAGGGTACACGTTTTTGAGTTGACACAAATGCCAGTAGAGACGAAATGCCGTTTTTAAATAAAAAGTGAAGTCAACTCGGACATATATACCCACTAAAATGATATTTAAAAAAATAAGTTATATAGGTTCATATAAATATTGTTTGGTTTTCAGGTATGATTGAAAGGTTAAATAGATTCACAGCTATAATTGAAGGGTTAAGAGGGTTTACGACTACAATTGAAGGATGAAGTGGGATTTCAGCTACTATTGAAGTAGTATGTTCCCTTAAAGATTTAGCATTTTTTTTTTTGCTATGGCTACCTTGTTGGTTAATGGTAATTTTAGGGCTGGTGGATTGAAATTTTAAGTAACACCTTCTCTAAAAACTTGTTTTCCGCTACCGTTAACGGGGTAAGTGGTATTACAACTACAATGGAAGGCTTAACTATTTACAGCTACAATTGAGGGATTAAGTGAGTTTATAGCGACAATCGAGGGATTAAGTGGGTTTATAGCGACAGTCGAGGGATTAAGTGGGTTTATAGCGACAATCGAGGGATTAAGTGGGTTTATAGCGACAATCGAGGGATTAAGTGGGTTACAGGTACAATCGAAGGGGTACTAAGTAACGGAGACTAATTCTGCTTGCGTTGAACTCACAACATTTTGGGTCTAGTCACTGATATAATAAATATCATCATTCACTGGGCCATGTCTCCTTGGGGACACACGGTCCAGTTGATGAAATGACTAAACTCAAAGAGTTGAGTGTTCAGTACCAGGCCATAGTAGTGGTAAACCAAAACTTGGAGGGTTGAGTTCATGGGAAATAGCTGAGACATCCGGAAGAGACATGGTACGTGGAACTAGAACAATCTACCCCGGTGGATGAAATAAATGCTTCGGTTCGAAATTCCAATCACTTGAAGAAGGTCGGGTCGTACAACGGCCGAATCGTTATGAATATGCCAATGAAGATGACGATAACAGTCCGAATAAATAAATGTAAATAATTCAAGTAATCGTAATACCTCATCTCAGTGATATAGACAGATATTTAAAAAATTGTTAATGTAATATTGGTAAAATAAAAATTATAGAATTCTTATAATCTAAAATATATTTTGGATTTAAATAACCCACAAAGGGTTGACAAGCCTTAAAAATAGAACAAAAACAAATCAGTCAATTGTGCTTATCTCCAAAGTATCTTGGAGCGGTTAGCCTGGAAAAGGAAAATGGTTTAAAGAAGTAATTGGATTTAAGTCTATAAAATACCCATATTCGTTTTAACAAATTGATTAAACTTCTTTATATAAAAAAAAAAAAAAATTATGATGGAGAAATATTCATTTATTTGTATAATAATATTCACTCAATACGAACTCCAAGACCCACTCAAGGTAGATTCCATAGCTGGAGAAATTATGCTTAGAATGTTATCAGAAAGAGCAATACAAATGCAGAAGGAAGTGTATCTATGTTTATAGACTACGCAAAGGCGTTCGACAAAGTACGCCACAAGTATCTGCTGGAACTGCTCAGCAACCTTGATATATTCGGGAAAGATATTAGAATAATCAAGAACTTATACTGGCAGCAAACGGTATGCGTGTGCATTGAGAAGGAGTTAGACGAATATACCAAATAGAAAGGGGCGTAGGCAAGGATGTGTCTTCTCACCGGACTTATTTAACCTATACAGCGAGGCAATTCTGGGGGAAATGGAGATCCTACCGGGATTCATCATTGGCAGCCACCATCTTACCAACATAAGATACGCAGACGACACAGTACTGAGAGCAGACACGGAAAAGAAATTACAAAACTTCCTCCAGAAGGTAGCGAAGGAGAGCGAGAAGAAAGGACTAATCATAAACTACAAGAAGACAGAATGCATGGTCATCAATAAAAGGATGAGTCCGAAATGCAATTTGCAGGTCGGGGACATTAAAATCAAACAGGTGCAGAAGTTTAAATATCTGGGAAGTGTTTTGACGGAGGCCGGTAGGTGCGACGCTGAGATCCGAAGACGGACTGGGATCGCCAAGGATGCATTCCAAAAACTGGACAGAGTACTGCAAGACAGGGGGGTGTTCTTTGGTGACAAAGAAAAAAAATACTGAGCTGATACGTGACATCTGTCCTCTTATAGCGACTGTTGGACGGAGTCCTCAAAGACGAAGAGACTCGAGGCAGCGGAGATGTGGTTCGACAGAAGGATGCTAAGGATATCATGGACCGAGGTTGTGAGCAACGATGAGGTCTCGGAAATGATGCAAGCAAGCATATACTTAACATGAGGCAGATACAATCTCTGGGACATGTAATTAGAAAGTCACGGGAAAACACCGCATGGCATACCTGGCGGACTTAAGCAAGTGGATGGCAGGAGGTGGCAATGGGACGAAATTTATTGAGCGCTACAAGCGATAGGGAGATGTGGAGAGCCATGATCCTGCGTACTGTAGGGACACGGCAAATAAAAAGAAAAAAAACATGGTTAACGTAATCCTACCTGCGTTATTTGAAATATTAAACTGAATTTATTTCAGAATGTACAACTACATAGTATTTATGAAGTAGATGTTTATGTAACCTGTGATAACACAGACAGGATTTATTAAGCAAGTGTCAAAACGCCAAATCACTCTCATGACAATAGAATGTGACAAAGGATTGGCGTTTCAATATCGCTAATCAATGTCCATTCACATTAACTCTACTCACCTTCGATTATGTAACACTGGCTAGGAACTTCCCCACTCCCACCGTATTGTCGCCATCTTCCTGCACTTCTGTATTGTTGTTGTTGTCGTCGTCTTCCTCCTCCTCCTCTTCGACGGTCCTCGTCCCCCTTTCCGACGCTCCTCATATCCCTTTCTCTTCCTATTTTCTTCTTCGACGGTCCTCTTCCCCCTTTCTCCTCTTCTCCGACGGTCCTAGCCCCCTTTCCCCTCCTCCCCACTTTTCTCCTCTCTTCTTCTTCTTCTTCGACGGTCCTCGACCCCCCCACCTTTCTCCTCCTTCTTCTTCTTCTTCTTCGACGGTCCTCGACCCCCCACCTTTCTCCTCCTCTTCTTCTTCTTCTTCGACGGTCCTCGACCCCCCCCCTTTCTCCTCCCTTCTTCTTCTTCTTCTTCGACGGTCCTCGACCCCCCACCTTTTCTCCTCCCCTTCTTCTTCTTCTTCGACGGTCCTCGACCCCCCCACCCCCCCTTCTTCTTCTTCGACGGTACTCGTCCCCTTCTTCTTCTCTTCTCCAACGGTCCTCGTCCCCCCCCACCTTTTTCCTCCCCTTCTTCTTCTTCGACGGTCCTCGACCCCCTCCTTTCTCCCTCCCCCTTTCTCCTTCTTCTTCAACGGTACTCGTCCCCCTTTCTCCTCCGTCTTTCTCCTTCTTCCAACGGTACTCGTCCCCTTTCTCCTCCTCTTCTCCAACGGTACTCGTCCCCTTTCTCCTCCTCTTCTCCAACGGTACTCGTCCCCCTTTCTCCTCCTCTTCTCCAACGGTACTCGTCCCCCTTTCTCCTCCTCTTCTCCAACGGTACTCGTCCCCCTTTCTCCTCCTCTTCTCCAACGGTACTCGTCCCCCTTTCTCCTCCTCTTCGCCGGTCGCCTACTTTTCTTTTATTTCTTTCTCCTTCTAGAAGTCCCCCTATATAGTAAATGCTGGACAATTTCTTTATAGATGAACAGAAGATTTGAGGCAACCGAGATGTGGTTCCACGGAAGGATGCTGAGAATTCCACGGACTGAACATGTCAATAACCAGGAATTTTAAGGAAAAAATATAGAAACAGAAAGAACTTTTATGTTTGGAATCAGAAAGAGTTGGTATTTTTAAGACATATAACGAGGAAAATGGGCTTGGAGAAATAACACTCACGGGATATATGGAAGGCAAGAAAGAACATTGGCAAACAGCGAGTAACCTAGCCAAGGAGCAGAACCGGGATTAGGAGAGAGAGGTAACATAGAACAACAAAGCATTGGAAGCTGTCGAGAGCCATGATCGCTCACATCTATCAGAGACGTGGTACATGAAAGAAAATTTTCACACACACACAAACTAGCTGAGCCAAACCACACTGAGAATTAAACAGGCATAGCGTCTTCAGCTCTAGGGTGTCACTCAACCCGTCCCACCCAGACAGTATCTTTCCTAAGGAGGAAAAGGGGTTTCTAAAGCTTAATATATAAAACGATTATCTCTTTTTTTTTTTTTAACTACCCAAATTATTACATTGTGATCCGAGTGCTCTTATTATGGGTAGGATAACCGTCTGTTGAGTCTCAAAATGGTCAGTGAGTGGTAGTTCACAATCAAAGAACATTTTCAGCAGACTATACTAATTAGTCTTTGAGTAAGGTATTTATTAAAATGGACGTGGGTCCAAGAGGGAAGTGGCTGGCTCCCTCCTCCCCCCTCAAAAACTAGCTCTACAATATCTAGGTAAAGTATTTTATTTTTTCAAATAATTATATTCTCAAGCAAGAAATCAACCACTCAGACACTTTATATACATCGATGGTTAGCGGCTTAGAATTAGAAATCGGAGAGCCGAGTTCGAATTCCAGTCGGGTTCGTGACATTCGCTTACACGAAAAGACTTTTGGGGAAGCGTACGAAGAAATCTCTCCAGCTCCCTACCCTATAAATAAATATATGGGTTAAATAGTAGAGAAAAACTTCGCTCTTTAACTTTGGTGGACAACTAGTGTAGGGGAAGGGCAACGCCGAATTCAAACGCTGAAGAGGGACATTTGGAGACATTGTGAACCACTGTGTGTACCAAGTTCTCTGTATTCGGCTTTTCCTAAATGTCTGGTCGGTTCTACAGAGGCTTTCAATAATATAATCATATCATATGTGTGATTAGTCTGACCATTTCAAGAACTGGGTTTCAGGGCCCATGTGCGACGAATACAATGGGAGAGTCATTCATTCACGTTTCACTGGACAAGACTGTAATTTCATTTGGTTTTCTTCACTGCTTTTCTTTTCACGCGTACAAACCAATATAAAAGTATGTTGGCCACGCTACCACTCACCGATCACGACGACTAGCAATACGCCACTCCGAATAGAGCTCAATACGGACAAACTAGAATTCTTCCAAACAGTACGCAACACCCGCGTACTGATACGTACCACTTAATGAAAAAAAACATTTAAAAGTGATGGCAGCCTTTATATATAGAGGGGGCGTCTATTTCAAATACGAGTATCGACTAAATAATAATGTAGGATTAAGAATAAATCTCCCATACATACATAATATATAAAGTGGTCTGTTTTTCTTTAATATATATTTTATTTATATATATCTATATATATATATATCTATATATATATCTATATATATCTATATCTATATATATATATATATATATATATATATATATATATATATATATATATATATGTATATATGTAAATGTAAAATGGATTTATCTGACAAATATTTTCTTTTTATGTTATTTTTATGGATACAAGTTATTTGAATATATGTTGTGTTTTTAATTAAAACAGTATTAATTACATTTACCAGCCTGAATATTCGAGAAATCCCTCAGAAAAGATGTGTCCTCAGACAGGAATCGAACCTGTATCCCATACGGAAACCGTCATTTAGCCTGACATGCCGATGGAGCCACAGAGGACTTCCGGTTCAGCAAATCTCAAATTATTTCTTATAAACACACACACACACACACACACATTAGACGGCCTTTCCTGATAATTCACTTCAGCTCCGAAACATATCCTAACGTAAACAATCACGACATATATGAAATGGATTAAATCCGACAAATATTTTAAATGTTTTCTGTTTTTTTTTCATGGATACAACTTATTTCTCGAATATTCAGGTCGGTAAATTTAATACTGTTTAATTAAAAAACAGATCACTTACTCAGATAAGTTGTATCAATGAAAATGACGTATAAAGAGAAATATTTATATCATACTTGTTATAAAACCCAGGTTGTGTGTGTGTGTGTGTGTGTGTGTGTGTGTGTGTTTCGTTTATATATTGGATCGGATTTCCTACATTTTTCAACCGATTTCAACAAAACTTCATAGGACTACGTAAAATTACCTTGCGGTGGTTCTGAAAGCGCCAAAAATTGATAAAACAATCGTTTTTGCACGAAATCAATTTGAAAACACGATTAAGACGCATCGCGAGAATGAAAGGTCGACAACTAATATCGAGTTATACTTATTATAAAACCCAGGTTGGTTGTGTATGTGTGTCTTCGTTTATATATGCGATCGGATTTCCTTCATTTTTCAACCGATTTCAGCAAAACTTCACATTTTTTTAGCAGATAGTGTTTCTTATTGTCTTACACACTTTTTTCTTTATTTTTACATTCAGAATGCTTTAAAAATTCCATTTACAAGTCAATTGTTTATAATATAATTTTATTCAATCGGTAGACTCATAACGATTGAAAACAATGCTTTTGTTTGAGTTTGGGTTTGACCAATTCCATCTTCCCATCGAGTGACACAGAGCAACGCGATCAGACGTATGGACGCTCCGCGATTGCACCATCGAAGAACTACAGCGCCGTAGTGCACTGCGGGCAGAGGTAGTTAAACCTTTGGAAAGGCGCAGTATAGAGTAGGCAGCATAAGTCAACGAAAGGCGTATGAGTGAGTAGAACGCTTTAAATCGGGAAGAACAAGAGGAACGGATGAATGCCGATCTGGTTGTCCATCATAATCGCGCACAGAAGAGCACACCCAGAGGGTGGATGTCTTGATCAAAGATGAGCGACGAAAATCGTGGGAATCCGCTATGGATCTGCACAAGCCATAGGGCATGACTTTGGGATACCGTATTGTGCGCATTGGGTGTCCAAACAAGCAAGCGATGCAGGCGTGGCATCATGAGCAATTGAAAAGCTTAGTTTCGGAAGAGATGAAGAAGGTCGTTGAACGATACAAAAAAATAAAAAAAAAAAAAAAAATGGATTCCCGTTCGGCTAGTGTGGGTATGCATTTGTTCTTCATCAGTGTAAATGATTGTGCTGGATGATAACTGCCTTTACTTTATGATCTGCCCTCGTATATAAGAGGGAGTTGTGCACTTGATAAAAGCAAGAGGTTTTGTAATTTTTTCATTGGCTTATAGTTTACTTTTATTTTTTAAACTCTTTTCAATTCTTGAGTTGAAATGATAATACTCATTTTTAGAAAAATTATTGTGGACCAACTTTGCTCAAAATCCTGGATTCTATCATATTTCTCATTTAAGAGATCAACTTTATTTTAAGAATATTAGTAAAATGTTTTACACACACTATATAAGGCAGGATATGTGTGTGTGTGTGTGTGTGTGTGTGTGTGTGTGTGTGTGTGTGTGTGTGTGTGTGTGTGTAACGAATGCACTTTTCGCAATTTTCGACGGATTTGCACCAAAATTTACATGCACATGCTCCAAGTTAGCTGGAAGGCCAAGATCGACTTTGCATTTCCCCAACTCCCATCGATAGTAGAAATAATCGATTTTTTCATGCTTCTACGGCAGTTTTCATGTAGGTTGCGGCCATTTTCTACTGGCCAGAGTGAGAGCCTATAGCTGGCTGCCACGAATAGGCAGGAAGATTCTATTGGCCAGCATGAGAGAAAGAAATCGATAGCTGCATTCGTCACAAGTGGGAATAATTTAAATCTGCATGGCACTTTACTCCAGTTGGCTCATTCGCTTGCTTAAACTCAACGTTGATTCTGATTCCGCAGAACTGTGTTGGTGTGAAAAAGTATTTGTTGTTAACATTCTTTTTTCATTCGGTTTTTCCAGTTACAAGTCCTTTTTTAACGCTGATCGTTTTGTGTTCATTTCTTTTTTCGTAACAGATTTAATGTTTAATATAGAGCTTAGAAAAAATTCACAGTGTGAGATAGGCAAGAAGTAAGGCATGTAGCAACATCAGCACGGCAAAGGGCACTCCTTTAAAGGCAAGGAAGGGCAAAAATATTTTAAGTCAAGTGATAGCGATTGCTGTACGAGTCGTACGATTTTTGAATCGAGCACGGGCAACGCCGGGCCATGCTGCTAGTATACATGTGCTAGGCTTTTCTCCAAATCAAGTTCAGTATGAATACAGGCATTTTTTCCCCCAAAATACTTGGGACCGAGATTGAGCCACTTCCAGTCGGCTTTGAACGAAATTCAAACTGAATTAATATAAAATATGGCAAGTTTAAATTTGTAGTGATTCATAAATAAAAAAGCACGAGTTGCGGCCCCTGTTTTGTTAGGTTACAGTACAAGTAAAAAAAAAAAATCCCATAATGCACTAAAAAAGACAGTTTTAGTGCGAAAATACAGAGTCTCTTTTTCTTTAACCGGCAATAGAAAGATTTTTTCTTGTATGAAGTCACAAGAAAGATTTCTCTTCGTACAGATAAGCCTAAAAGTATTTCTTTTTTTGCATTAATACATACAATATGTGCGTGTGTGTGTGTGTGTGTGTGTGTGTGAATAATATGAATCAATTATTGTATGTTTAATAAAAAAAAACAATTATTTGATAAATGTTATATCTTGTTGCATGCACACCAAAAACTTCATATTTTTTGGAGAGAATGTCAAACAAAAATTATCCACACTTGTCGAAAGATTTGTTA